TCCCTCAAATATGATGGTGAAATTAGGAGATTTCCAGATAAGCAGAGACTAAGGGAATTTGTTAAAACCAGACCAACCTTACAAGACATGCTAAAGGGAGTCCTTTTAACGGAAAACCAAAAATAGCAAATAACAGCCAACCATTAATACATAAGATGACATAACCCAAAAACCACAGCTGTGGACATATCCCAAGTAAAATGAGCTTACAAGATTATAAACAGGGAACAAGAAACATCAATTGGCAAGTAAGGACAACTACAAACAAAAAGAGGGAAAAGACTATGTAGTTACAAAACTTGGATTGAATAAGAAAACAAAACCCATCAATATGCTGCCTACAAGAGACACATCTTACACACAAAGACAAAAATACACTAAAAATCAAAGGTTGGAAGAAGATACCAAGCAAATGCCAACTGTAAGAGAGCAGGAGTGGCAATATGGTGATTCCTTCAAAAGTTGGAATTAGAAATACCATTTGACCCAGCCATTCCATTACAAGGTATATACTCTAAAGAAGTGAGAGCCATGACAAGAACAGATACATGCACACCCATGTTCATCGCAGCACTATTTACAATAGCCAAAACGTGGAAACAACCTAGATGTCCATCACCTGAGGAATGGAAAACCAAACTATGGTACATACACACAATAGAATATTATGCAATGCTAAAGAATAATGTAGAATCTGCAAAACACCACATAACGTGGATGAACTTGGAGGACATTATGCTGAGTGAAATAAGTCAATCACAAAAGGACAGATATTATATTAGTCCGTTATTGTAAAAGTTAAGGAAACGTTTATCTATAGAAGGAAATTTTCTTTGTTGGTTACCAGGGGTGGGAGGGTAGGGGTGGGAACACTGTTAGACAGATAGAGATAAGTATTGATTTGGGTGAAGAGAAGGGCAGTATACCAAATGTGAGTGACCAATATGGCAGCATTGAGGAAGAGAAAGACATAGAGAGGTACATGGGAGGTACAGACAACAAAGATGAACCCTTTTGCACATACAGTACTGCATTTTCAGTGAAGGCAAGCATGGGTATATGGGTGGATAGATGGGTGGACAGGCTGAACTATTAGGTATGTCTATGAAATGAGGATTATATCCAAGAACATGTATAGGGTTGGCAGACAATGGTCCTATAAGTTTATGTGAATGATCAGAATTCCCAGGTGTATAGTAGAGGTGACAAGGGGTAAGGTTGTGGTCACTGCTTGGTCACAGCCAGCTACCCAGAGGGACCAAGTAGTTGAACCTGTGGGCTTGGGACCATAGTCGCAGGGGACATCAAGCTCAATTGGCATAACATCCTATACAAAACATTGTTCCACCTCCTACTTTGGCGAGGAGCAACTGGGATCTTAAAAGCTAGCAAGCTGCCATCTAGATGCAATGATAGGTCTCTCCTTGTCCAGAGCAAAGAAGAATGCAAAATCATTTGGAGAAAAAAAAAGGTGGGGGGGTACCAGTTTTGCTGGTCCAACAGAGCCTGGTGGAACCACTGAGACTATGGCCCCTAGCTGCCCTTCAGTTAGGAATTGAACCCACACCTTTGATTTCCAGCCAAACAAAAGACTGGCATATGAGTTGAACATTTACCTGAGGTAGATACACTCCTTGGAGAGAACAATCATGGGAGAAACAAGGGCTGCTTATGCACAGGGAGACAGGTCAGGGGGCAGGAGTGCATGGAGGGATGGACACAGGGAAGAGATAACTATGGGGAGGAAGTGGGAGGGGAGCTGTTGCATTGTGGTAAATTGTCATGAGACAAAGTGTGTATGAACTGCTGTATGGAAACTGAATTTGCTCTGTAAATCTTCACCCAAATCACAATAAAAAGAAAGAAAGAAAGAAAGAAATCAAATGATATATAGCATTGCATGAATCTGTGGCAAAAGACCTCCTTGAAGTGTTAAAAAGCAAAGATGTCACTTTGAGGACTAAGGTGTGTTTGACCTAAACCTTGGCAATTTCAATTGCTTCTTATGCATAAGAAAGCTGAGCAATGAATAAAGAAGACCAAAGAGGAACTGATGCCTTTGAATTATGGTGTTGGTGAAGAATATTGAATACACCATGGAATGTCAAAAGAATGAACAACTCTGTCTTGGAAGAAGTACGGCCAGAAAGCTCCTTAGAAGTGAGGATGGTGAGACTTGTCTCACTTATTTTATACCTGTCATCAGGGGGGACCAGTCCCTGGAAAAGGACATCATGCTTGGAGAGTGGAGGGTCAGCGGAAAAGAGGAAGGCACTCAACAAGATGGATTGACACAATGGCTGCAACCGTGGGCTCAAGTATAGCAAGGATCGTGAGGATAGTGCAGGACCAGGCAGTGATTCGTTCTGTTGACGTGGGGTTGCTATGAGTCGGAACTGACTCAACAGCACCCAACAACAACATGTACCGTGTGTGTGTGTGTGTGTGTGTGTGTATGTAAGTTGGGTCACATTGTAAAATGTATTTGTAATTGAAACTATTTGATGTCATGACACTGGAAAGGTCATGCATGTGACTAACATTCCTGCTAACACATAAACATATGAATTCAGGAAAATACAAAAAGTACTTCTTATGGCCAAAAATGAAAACCTAAGTACTAAGAAGTAATTGCATTTGGTGAGCTGTCCATAAATAGCTATCCTTTCTCTTTTTCTTCCTATTCTCCTTTAAGACAGAATATTATGACACATACCTGGAAAAGGGCAATGAAGGAAGTCCAGGCCCACGTGGGCCCAAAGGAGCTCGTGGCCCACAGGGTGAGAATAAATTTCTTCCTAAAGCGTTTGCTCATAATTTCCCTGACTTTCTGCAAAGGTAATGTGTAGCATGTGTTTGTAGACCTAGAACTTCTTAAAAAAAAAAATTGTAATTGTTGTTAAAATACATATACCATATAATTTGCCAATTCAATGTTTTTCATATGTACAGTTTAGTGACACCAATTACATTGTGAAACTATCACCAATAATCATTGCCCACATTTTCCATCACTATAAACAGAAACTCAGTGCTTCCTAAATAATGTCTCCCCTACCCCTTTTTTTTCTTTTGGTCCCCTAATTTTCATAGGTGGTAGAGTGTTTTGAGTTACCTTCATATCATAAGGCATCAAGTGCTGGCCAGTACCTCTCATCCCTGGCTGCCCACGAATCCCTGGGTACTTCTGAATGATACTATGCCAAAGCCTATCCCCTGAGATTCTGATTTAACTGATTTAAAGGAAGATCCTGGGCACTGTGTTGTTATGTGCCATCGAGTTGGACCTGACTCATAGCGACCCCTCCTTGGGTTTCCAAGGCAGTATCATTATGGAAGTAGATTGCCCAACCTTCTTCTCCAGGAGTGGCTAATGGGTTTGAAATGCCAGGCTTCTGGTTAGCAGTCAAGCACCTTAGGTGATATGCTAACCTGGGCACTGTAGATTTTTTAAATTCCCTAGATTATTATAATGTACCACCAGGAGTGAGACCACTGATCTGGGCAAATTGTTAACATAGACAAGATTTCAAAAGAATTTTACTTAAAATGGTAAAAATTCTCAGTGTGTTTAAATAAATGGACAGATAAATATAGATACGGTTTTTTAAAGATCTACTATACCTGTCTTGTGGCTGTAGAGTCAGTTTCAGCTCATAGCACCTATAGTACAGAGTAGAACTACCCCATAGGGTTTCCAAGGCTCTAAATCTTTATGGAAGCAGACTGCTGCATCTTTCTCCTGTGGAGTGGCTGATAGATTCAAATTGCCAACCTTCTGGTTAGCAGCCAAATGCTTAACTACTGCATCACCAGGGCATCTTAAAATCTGCTGATGTGAAAGAGGACTCTAAAACTGAGGAGCTGGACATAAGTAAAATGGCTGACACAGGTCTGAATCAGACTCCATTTTATCCTAGACCTCTGCTTCTGCTTTTTAGAGTAGTGACCCATGACTACACTCTTGACCAAAATAACTTGTTCTGCAACATTCTGACGGAGGTGGCCTACTTAGAACGTGGCTGGAACCAAGTCTGGAATGCAGGAAACTAAGGTTAAGATTGAGTACCCCAGCCAAGAGAAATTCTCGATAAGTGATTCTTAGGGCGTGTGGTGAGTGCCAACCAACTAAACGCACCCTACCCAGAACTCTTTCTGCACCCTATACAAAGTTCTGATACAAGACATGCACTCTTTTGAACTTTCATTTTGGCGCTTCCCAATTTGCAAATCTTTGAATCCAAATGAAACTGTAAACTGCTCACCCTTATCAGAGAATTAGAACACCAGAATGTTACATGTGGAATGGCTTAGATAAATAATCCACCAAAGTGCAGCCCCTTGAGGTGTTAGCTGGATTTTTTTTTTTTTTCCTTTCATCTAAACTCCCAGCAAACTGCAAACACAGAGCAGGTTTTCAGTAGATCTCTACTGAATTATGGGAAAGTGATAAGAAGGTAAGATTTACTTCTGAGTTTTAAACATCTCAGAATGGTGTCCTCTCCGTAATTTGTCTGTATAAAGAAGCAATGTTTTCCATTATTTATCTATGTGAGAGTAGAATGAGTGTGTGAAATATATTTATTGTTAAGTATTATTATATTGTCATTCTACATGCCAAAAAGTGGGGGGAAGGGGGGAAGGGAGGAGCATTTGTATCTTTTGTAAGCAATTAACTAACATTATGTATTTGCAGGTCCCAGTGGTCCCCCTGGAGTTCCTGGAAGTCCTGGTATGGACATGTTTCTTAGGAGACACATAGAAATGCTATTCAACAGGAAAATACACTGCACCCTAGTCAGTTTGCATTGTTTTACATAAGACAGATGTATCATTAATTTATCCATAATTGTTACCAATTTCTAAACTATTATCTTTGAGACTTAAAGTGAAAGAGGTAGTGGAAGATTTTATAGACATGTTCTTCTTTATTTCTTAATGGTTTTAACTCAGTGCAAAGCCCTTAGTGTCTAAGAACTTCCACAGTAACTTTAGAGTATGAGCAGACACTTGGAAACTCAGAAGAGGCTCTGAGATTGAAAACAGTAATTGTGTGCTGACTAGGTTGATTGAAAATGATAATTTTCATAAGGTATCACAAGTTGCATAAGGGCACACACATTTTACCTGTTAAGTTCAAAGTTAAAGTTTTTAATTTTGCAATATATTGTTTATGGATGCATGGATCATTCCTGGGAAGTGTTTGAAAAAAAAAAAAGTGCCCATAAGTCATTAGAGTGGTTGCCTCTCGGGAGATAAAGAGAAGAGGAGCATCAGGACTGGAAACACAGCAGCCTCAGTTGTACCTGTAATGTGTCATTTTTAAAAGGAAAGCAAAAAAATGGAAAAGAGAAGGCAGACATTTGATAAACCAGGGTGGCAGGAGCTGTAGCATTCACATATTTTTCTCTTTATGATTTTATATATTTAAAGCGATTTCAAAATTTTGAAATGAGTTACTATTAGACAGATTACAGGATTATATGTATAGTGTAATCCCATTGTAAACAAAACAGGTAAGTAACTAGAAAATATTGTGTGGACTTGTATATGCATGTAAAATTATATGACTACTAACCGTGAGTATCCTTTAACATTTGTTGTTGTTGTTGTTGTTGTTGTTATGTGCCATCGAGTTGGATCTGACTCATAGCGACCCCTCCTTGGGTTTCCAAGGCAGTATCACTATGGAAGTAGATTGCCCAACCTTCCTTCCGAGGAGTGGCTGGTGGGTTTGAACGGCCTGCCTTCTGGTTAGCAGTCAAGTGCCTTAGCCACTATGCTACCAGAGCTCCCATCCTTTAACATTAGGATAGGGCAAAAGGAAATTTAGGGCTCTGGCTAAGCATGAAGGAAAACTTCCTTCTCCCTGCCTGGCCCCAAGTAATGAACAGGCTGCTTTAAGAAAACCAGTGGGTAAAAAATGCAAAACTCTGAAACTAATACCAGTCCCAAGGGTTTGTCTTCAAGTTCGAACAGTAAGAAATAATCAGATATTACCCCCACTTGTTTCTCAGCCCTTTGGTGGGGACGTCTGTCTTCTCATCTGCTCACTTGTTAAACTGTTCCCAAGGGAGATGGCCCCCCTCCTTACCACCCTCCCCATCTTAGAAAGGCAGAAAATGGGTTTTGTACCCCCTTCCCAGGAGAAACCTGCCTTCCCCACCTCACTCTTTATACCTAAGATGATTGCAGGAATAAAGTCCCATGACAACTTTCTCTTTCTCGTTTGTAGCACTGATAGGCAGATATTCTCTCTCCTCTAATAAAAGAAAATAAAAATTCCAAAATGTATTCAATACATTTTTATTTTTATAATGCATGTATTCAAGGATTTCTCATTATCTTTTTAAACAAAAGACGACAGTGCATCCCGGACTCTGTTTCAGAGCCTTGTAACAAGCCAGACGGTCTGGTGGGAGTGGAGCGTTGTGACCATTGCTCTTCCCGTTTCACAAGCCCACACACACAGATGGAGGAAGCAAAGGCACACACCTCTTATTTTACGTGCTTTATGTACCTCTAACTGGTGCAGGTTTGGAAATAAGAATATATCACATTTTGTAAGTAAAAGATAAAATGTATTAGGAAAAAGTGAAATACAATAAAATGATTCTTTTCTCTCAGGGTCATCAGAGCCTGGCCTGAGAGGGAGCTCTGGACCACCAGGCATGAAAGGAAGCAAAGGGGAACAAGGACCCCCAGGAGCCAATGCAGTGGGGCCTCCTGGGTCCCAAGGTTGTCCTGGTTCACCAGGCCCTGTGGGGCTGCCAGGACCCCCAGGACCACCAGGTAATGGTGCCTAATGGAACCTCTTTTGTGTCTATTGTCCATTGACAGATGTGTGCAGATCAGGGCAATGGACCTTCCCCTTAGCTTGGCCATCAGTCTGTGTGGTTTCCCTGAGTCATCTTTTGGACTGAGATTCATTTTATAAGCTATCTGTTGGCAGTACTGTGATGGATGAAGGCTTGACCACTGTAGTACATTTGTCGTCTGAGTTGCCCAGAAAGCAGAACGGGAGGCAGGAACAAGGGGAGTGAGGCAGGGAAGGGAGGATGGTTATCATGTTGTCTTCACCAAGTGCAACTGTTTGCTCAGTGCTTTGAGCCAATCTTTAAGAAGCTGTGTAATTTGGTCTCAGGACCTAGGGAAGAAAACTGAAAAACAAACCAGGTTCCGTCAAATCGACTCTGACACATGACTACCCTGTGTGTGTCAGGCCTTTCTTCTGAAGTGCGTCTGGGTGGACTAGAACCTCCAACCTTTCAGTTAGTAGCTGAATTCATTAACCGTTTGAATCACTCAGGGACTCCCAAGGTGTAGGTTTAGTATTCTTGTTTTATCATTGACATGCTTGATAGCAGGGATGATGCTATTAATGAATGCTAAAGACAGGATCTGGCCCCGGCGCCCCACAATGCAACAGCCCCCTGCCTGGAGGTGCCATGTTCTTCTCGCCTTGGAGATGGTGCCTGCTGTGCTCTCAGACCCGCTCTTAGGCCTTATTGCCTATCTTCTCTTCTTTAACCAACACCCACATTGTCCATTCATCAGAGCTTCAAGTCCAGGTCCTCTAGAAAACTTTTACGGAACCCACATGCTGTAACAGCAAAGCTACCCCAGCCATAGAATTTCAGATTACCTTGTCTTTATTTGTTGGTTTCCCCTATAAAGGGACAAAACTCTCAAAGATCAGAGCTTATGTCATGTTTCCTGTTTTAAGTCCAGAATATAGCATGGAGGATAGAACATTATCCAAACCAAACTCACTGCTGTAGAGTCAATTCCAACTCATAGCGACCTCTCCTTTGGTTTCTGAGGTGGTATCTCTATGGAAGAGGATTACCCAGTCTTCCTTCCAAGGAGTGACTAGTGAATGGGTTTGAGCTGCTAGCCTTCTGGTTAGCAATCAAATGCCTTAGACACTACACCACCAGAGCTCCTATGGAACATTACAGGTGCTCAAATATTTGTTGAATTAAGTATGAAAGGAGTGTGGCAATGTATCCATTGTGGTTAGTTGCCATGAGGTGGATTCTGACCAATGGCAACCCCAAGTGTACAGAGTAGAACGTGCTCCATGGGATTTCAAGGCTGGGATCTTTCAGAAGCAGATCACCAGGCCTGTCTTCTGAGACCTCGGAGTGGGTTCAAACTGCCTACCTTCCAGATAGTAGTTGAGTATTGAAAGGTTTGTGCAATTCAGGGACTCTTGTGAAAATCTGTTAATGCAAGCATATGTATAAATATTCATTACACAGAAAACTTGCATCCAATTTTCTGTTTAAAGATTACTGTCTAGTCATTCATTTTAAAGATGGAGAAAGCTGGGTCACACAGTGGGCATTCTCAGATGGTCAAGCAGACATCACATGACACACACGAAATTCCAACTAAATTAAATGTTTCCACTGTTACTTGTTGCTCTGAAATTTGGACCAACTACAGAGACTGTTTTTAAATATGTACTTTCATCCTATATTTGAAATGGCAAGACTTGGACACCAAAAATTAGATCATGAAACGTGATTTACCAACTTAAGAGAATTGTCTACTCACCGTAACGTTACACTGGCAGAGATATGAGAGGACCAGCATTAGCTTCTTGAGCTGCTTTATGAATGACAAAATCAGTTGGTGTGGACAAGCAATGAGGAGCTAACAGGTGACACCCTGAATCAGAATTCATCCTACACTCCCTATTTACTGAGCATCTACAATGTATCAGGAATGTACAATGACCAGAAAACACACCTGAGTTAGATTTGATCCTTTGCCTCAGGTGCCAAAGGGATAGTCTTGGAATAATTGGAAATGACTGAGATGACATGGGTTGCTTATGAGAACAGAAATGCCATGTAATGAGCTTGCAAATAGCAACTACAGCAGTATCAAAAAAAAAAAATAATAATAATCTCATCTGTGGCATGTAAAGGAGTTTTGGTGGTGTAATGGTTAATACTAACCAAAAGGTTGGTGGCTCAAAGCCACTAGCCACTCTGCAGAAGAAAGATGAGGCAGTCTGCTTCTGTAAAGATTTGTAGCCTTTGAAACCTAATGAAGGGCGCTATGAGTCAGAATCAACACAATGGCAGTGAGTTTGATTTGGTTTATATCATGTAAAGGAAAGTGCTGGTCAGCCTCACCAGACTTTTCAGCTACAGGCACCCTTTAAAAGGCTCAATTTCAAATACAAAGATGGGAAAATGCTTATAAATCATATGTATATTAAAACACTTGGTAATTGGGGAAAAAAAACATGCAAACAAGTGGCTTTGGTGTTATATTTTTATAGGTGACATTGTCTCTTGCAAGGGTCCTCCTGGAGACCGTGGTGTTCCGGGCCATCTAGGGCCTCCGGGAATCCCAGGACGTGATGGAGCTAAAGGTTGGTTTAATCAATGGTATCACTCCCCTAGGAAAAGCCATTTTCATCATTGTTATTATCCCTGATTATTTTCCCAAAACAACAGTGATCCCAAACAGCAATCAGTCACTGATGGTTTCTTTCACCAAAGAATTGTTGTTCTTGTTGTTGTTGTTAGGTGCCGTCAAGTCGGATCCGACTCATAGAGACCCCTCCTTGAGTTTCCAAGACGGTATCACTACGGAAGTAGATTGCCCAATCTTCCTTTCGAGGAGTGGCTGGTGGGTTTGAACCGCCCACCTTCTGGTTAGCAGTCAAGTGCCTTAGGCACTACGCAATCACCAAAGAATTAGCTAAAAGAATTTATCTCCAAATTCATAATTGATTTAGCACCCATGCAATGGTGCCTAAGGCATTGACTGCTAACCAGAAGGCTGGCAGTTCAAACCCACCAGCCACTCCTCGGAAGGAAGGTTGGGCAATCTACTTCCGTAGTGA